CTTGGAACGCAGCCAGAACAGATTTTTTTATCAGCTGTAGTCGACTCAGGATGACATCGTTGTTGGAACAAGGCCGCCCTGACTGCGCTTACAGCCGAGCCGCGTCAAAGGCTCAGTCGTTTACGTAGATTACCACTGTACCTTACTCCTCTGTCGCAGTGGGAGATACTCTGGGGGATGGGTGGGGCTGTAGGAGGCGTTTTGAATATTATAGAGTTTGTATTACCACGCAGTGGTCGTTCTTAATCCACGTTCACTGAATAAAGCAGACAGTTTCACGGACTCGAATTTCGTTTTTGCAGGTGGCCGAACTGTTGAACGGATCCTCGGATACGGTACTAATCGGAGCTTCTCTCGGAGGAACAATCGCCGTTGAAATGACAAATTACTTGGAAGTGAAATGTAAAGTCATCGTTATTGACAGCGGAACCGAATACCAAAAGTTAAAGGGGTACTCATTTGAAGACCACAGGAAGGTGCATTCACAATTTAGTTTGCTTCTCACTAGATTTTGTAGGCAGTGTGGCTTTTTCCAGAGCGTGAACGATGCCTTGGTGAACTATGCCATTGATGACATCACGAAGTTTTGGATGGTGCTGAATTCATGGGATATGTTGATCATGCTACGCGATTATGAACCCACACCACCGAGTAGAATCGAAAAGCTTAACGTCTTCTCCATTGACGGGTCCGATCTTGGATGGAGCAGGTCTGTGGTGTTTGCAAAGAACTTCTTCTCTCCTCGATGGGAAATCCTGACATTGTTATCTTGTATCATAATGTCGCGTGGCCATTATTAGGAGTGGAACAGATGATTTTTTTGGTAGGTTTTCACGATGTGTTTACAATATGGGGTGCAGTGACAAGCGGGTCCACTTTACAAGCGCACTGTAAGGGTCTGTTCCCGATATTAACCTTTCGGGCCAGCCAGCCCGTGAGTCGCACAGTTGGTACCGTCCTCATTTGGGAATATATGAGCGCTGAAGTGTGCATTACGTGACTCCCACAAGCGAAAGTATGGGTCAAATTGCATTTAAAAGCCACTGCTGTTCTGAATTGGATCATTAGGAAAAACAAAGTCCTATGGTCTCGCAACTCTAATTCCATATGTAAACAAAATGTAAACAAAATTTTGACTTCCAGTGGAAACTTCATTGATCTAGATAACAACGAGTATTATGGAAATACTCTTGCCAGTGAGAAAATCTTTGCTCAATCCGCTTGCATAGAAGTCCGAACATCTGCTTTAAGTGGCCATGAAAGTAGTCTGAAATGTTACATGGCACATCCTTGGCGATTCCCTAACGGGGAGAGGGTCGTATTTGAACGAGAAAGAAATTTTTTGATAGGATATTTTGTTGAACGGACGCTTAAAGGTGGGGAGGGATCGTATTTGCTCACTGGTGGAAGGGGTGGGGGGGGCGCATTTTCCTTCTCGAGAAAAACTGGTGCGAGCTGGGAAAATTTTCCCCGGTCATGGACTTTTCGCGGTTTTTTTACGGCTCCTGTGCTATATACCCGCCCGCTCGACAGCTCGATCGTATTAGAGGAGGGAACTAGGAGGGGGTCGTATCAAAAAACCTCTCAGGGGGAGGGGGTCACAGTGATTCAATCAAAATTCCCAACCCATGATCTGCCCTAGCCATGAAAAATCTTAATGGTTTGAACTTCCCATGGAACTTTCGAATGGAGACCTAGGTACATCGATAGAGCCTCGAATGCTCGAATATGCAGATTAAAAGTGCTACGGGGACCTCCCAGACGAGATCTGGGTGGTCAAAGTTTGCGAAAAGTCAGTTTTGGCTCGTAAGCGCTGCTGATCGATGTCTCGGCAGTGCCCGGGCCTGACGCTGCGTGGCAAACGGTCTTCCGCTTCCAAGTCAAACGCACCCGGTTTGCATCCGGCGGAAATTTTTGCTTCCGCTCCTATAAGAGCTTCAACTCTAATTTTCGAAATTCTTCCGAATTTACGGCCCAGCAGGGCAAGTAGATCAAGTACATCAAGTATATGACGTACTCGATCTAGTATGGATTTGGTCATATCTGCCCTCTCTGAACATATTACCCATCCGACAATGAACGAGTTTTCTCGCCAAAAACTTGATTGTCGGATGGGTAATATGTTCAGAGAGGGCAGATATGACCAAATCCATACTAGATCGAGTACGTCGTATACTTGATGTACTTGATCTACTTGCCCTGCTGGGCCGTAAATTCGGAATTTCGAAAATTAGAGTTGAAGCTCTTATACGGAGCGAAGCAAAAATTTTTCGCGCCAACCGGATGCAAACCCGCATGCGTTTGACTTGAAAGCGAGACCATTACCGAGGCCACGGTGGCACTGCCGAAGCATCGATCAGCAGCGCTTACGAGCCAAAACTGGACTTTTCGCAAACTTTGACCACCCAGATCTCGTCTGGGAGGTCCCCGTAGCACTTTTAATCTGCATATTCGTAATCAGCATTCGAGGCTCTATCGATGTACCTAGGTCTCCATTCAAAGTTCCATGGGAAGTTTAAACCATCCTTATTAGAGGCATATGGCACGCAAATTCCGTACCCGGTTTTGAATGCTAGCAGGGTGCCATGTAGTGAAAAAATGGCGAAACGAAGTGAAACGGTCAAAAATTTCGGAGAAAAGCCTTTGTTCTCCATGATACAGAGAGTATTTTCGGACGAGTTCCCAGTAGGCATCTTCAATAAAGAGATGCGGCTGCACATATGTACTCATATATCCATGCAGCGCGGCCGCTTCATATCAATCCCTTCGCTTCATATTTTACATAGCAAATGAAGCAATACGAGCATAAGCTCGTCTATTTGTGGGCGGGCGGGTGTGGTGGGCGTCCGGATCGGTATGTTGCAGCTTGCGATACGTTCCAAAGGAGCTAGCAGCACCTGCACAGGGCACGGAATCCCTTCCTGCCAGGCGTATTAATCCTACTCGTCCTAGGGACTTATCGTGCCAACTGCCTCTAATGTAAGACCATGGCCACAGAGAGCATTCATGCTCTCAGCGCAGCATATTGTGATTACTCTGTCAAATAATCTCTGACCCATAACCCCTACAAAACACTTTGAACAACACTTGTATTCAGGAACGTGTATATGTGCAAAGTTGTAATTCTTTAGATTGGTGACGACATCGACAACGAGAATAGTTGGTACTCATGCTGACATGCTTTCTGAGAAGTATTGCCATGATCTCGCCAATGAAATCGTTGGAGTATTGTCTCGGAACTAGATATGAGTTAATGAAGAATACAAAATCGAGGTTTCACATGACAACATAACGCTTTTTCATGGGCGATGACAATTCACATAAGCAATAAGTCTCTTTGCGAGATGCGGTTAAGTTTCCCCACACATTATTCACAAAACCTCTTTGAAAACTTAGTTCTAAATGGAGAGCAACTTGAATAGGTCGGGTCAATGTTGGGAGTAGGTAGGGCATGGGACAAAATTTAAGGAGCACGAATGATCTATATCCGCCCACAGCGAGCGGGGCATGCGCCAAAAGTTAGCAGTGTTGCAGACGAAAATTCGCAATTCGGTTCCAGAGCGGTCCAAAGATGGGAAAAAATGGATTAAGATAACAAGGGTTGCCAGACTTACAAAGGAAAACGCACCCGTGCTTAAAATGAGAAGGACTTCCCACGAAATCAAGTAATTCGATTGCTCAGAGATCGCAAATCGAAAGAGAAGGGAAAGAGTTGCCGAGAATTGGTGTGTTGGGACCAACCCACAGTGGGCGGAGCAACATAAGGCACTCATTCCAAAAACTTGTGGTTCGGCTTCAGAGCCCTCCAGAGACCGGCAAGAAGTATTAAGTCCAGCGAGGGGTTACCGAATGGGAAGAGGGAGACACAGGTGGGGCTGAAGGAGCGTGCGCTAAGATGGGCGGGGCCTAACATACAAATCAGCAAAACGGTACCGCGGCACTCCAGAAACCTAGAGGAAGTTTATTAAGGTCAACGAGGGGTTAACAAATGGGAAGACGGCACACCTAGAGTGAGCGGAGTATGCTCCGTGGTGGCCGAGGATAAAGTCAAAAACTCCTTCGTCCTCCTCGGAGCAGCATGGAGACAGAAAAAAAATGATCAGTGCTATGCAAGAGATTGGACTGGATTGGGAGAGACACACTCGTTGTGAGCGGAACGTCCACCGAGAAGCGTAAAGCAAAAATCAACAATTCAGCAATTGGTTAAGCAGCATGGGCACCGAAAAAAAGGTGAAGTGGGGTCCACATAAAATTAGCAGGCGGGATGGAGGAAAGCCCTCAAAATGGGAACGGTGTTCGCTACGAAATTACATAACTCGGTCCTAAGAAAGTTTGTAGATTTGAAAAAGTCGTGAAAGAGGAAGAACGTCTTGCAAGGGTTGAGCGAATCTACGGCTTGTTAAGACTAGCCCATAAAGGGCAGAGCGGTGCATGCCCCTCGAGAACAAGGTGCTTATATTTCGACTGAGTTCTAGTGCACAGGTAGCCATACCTTTAGTGGTCAGTCGTCACAGGCACATTTAACATCGGTCGGTTTGCCGGCATTCAATAAACAGTAATAGTGTTTAGCATGTGTGATGCTCTGGTTGAGGAGCGTTGTATGCAAGTTAATTAGTGGGTATTAGTTGGGCATCCAAACTGTACGAGTCAGCTAAGCCTCGGAGACGGATTTATTCGATTTTCAAACAACTGTAACGCGAAGGAATGGAGGACTTATACCATTTTCACTTTAAATTCACCACTTTTCAAATCAAATTCACCACTCTTTTAGACCGGGCAGTTCACCAACCAGATCACGCCAGACACCACTGCGAGCCCCGCCCCGACGGTCACGCCTACTTGTCAGCGCGGACATAGATTTTCAACACATCCGACCGCCCATTCTTCAAAGGGTTTGTTGCGACTTCGAAATTTCATAACTTTTCAACTTTTTAATTTCACATCTACTCTTTGCACAACGAAGATACTCGTACCCGCGCACTTATGCACTGACAGTTTAGGCTCCGCCCCTTAACCACGCCCACTGCTTCTTGCGGAATTTTGATATTTTTTCAAAAGTTTTTGCATTTTTGGACTGCTCCATGAAGCCCCGCCCACTGTGAGAGGCTCCGCCCACTTCAGAGAAGCCCCGCCCACTTTTCAAAAATGGTGCAAATCGGCAGTATAGAATCTTGGCTTGCATGCTAGGGTATTGCTGGTCATTCGGAACAAACTTTGCCTGATTTATTTGTTCCGAGTGACGGACGAGACCCTAGCATGCAAGCCAAGGCTCTATACTGCCGATTTGCACCATTTTTGAAAAGTGGGCGGGGCTTCTTCGAAGTGGGCGGAGCCTCTCACAGTGGGCGGGGCTTCACGCGGCAGCCCGAAAATGCGAAGGATTCGGAAACATATCAATTCCGCGAAAGGGGGCGTGGTCGAGGGGGCGGAGCCTAAATTGCCAGTGCATAATGCGCGGGTACGAGTATCTTCGTTGTGCAAAGAGTGGATGTGAAATTAAAAAGTTGAAAAAGTTATGAAATTTCGAAGTTCGCAACAAACCCTTTAAAGAATGGGCGCAGTCGGCTGTGTCGATGTGCTGAAAATCTGAAATCTTAAATTGTCCGCGCTGACAAGTAGGCCTGGCCGTCGGGGCGGAGCAGGCGTGGTGTCTGGCGTGATCTGGTTGGTGAACTGCCCGGTCTCAAACGAGTGGTGAATTTGGTTGAAAAATGGTGAATTCAAAGTGAAATGGTATATATATTCAGTTGCCGTGGACATCGTCCAAGAATTCGGCACTAGAGTGTGGCTTATTGTCAGTAGCCAGCACCATTTGCCGCTACACCACATCGGCCTCTATTATTTCTAGAAAAGCATACACAGCATGAGCAGGCAAGGATTGCAACAAAAATACGGTCAACCGTCCGTATACCTTTCGGCTCCCTCTTTACCAGAAGAACCACATGATCATGATCGCACGAAAAATGCGATCAGTAATGTGCAACCAAGCCGAATTAAGTTTTGTCTGTACTCACTAAGGACAGGCGCGGTTAAGCATCACGTTAAGGTAAATTGGCCCGTCGATGCGACAGCTCTGAAAAGAGTGTACATACCACGCCCCCCCCCCCTCCCCCGCTACCTCTGCTTGTTGGAGTGGTTGAGCCCTATTCTAAGAACCTTTTTTGCCACATTTTGTATCACGTTGTTCACAGTGAACTACTCATATTTATTATTCATTTTCACTACAACATAACAATTCGTCAATCCAAAGCATGTGGTGCATATGTGCTATAGTCCTTCAAAAAGCTCTGATGAATCATGATCAGAAAAAATACAGGTTTAATAGTCACTACACCACCCAAGCGGGTGTGGGCAATATTGTGCGGTGGCGCAACTACGTCTCGCCTATTTCTCTGGTGGCTCTCGGTGGTTTTATAAGGCTTAAGGCAATCCTTGAGCAACGGGAAGAATTTAGTAGTTCACTTGAGCCGACCAAGATTGTTAACGTTTATTAGGCCAACGTTTCGGCTTGTTCGCCTTCGTCAGAGCCTGAAAGAGTCAAAAACAGATGTGACTTGTTCTCTCAAACGCCTAACTAAAACTGAAGACCATTTCGAGAAGCCGGTAAACCACCTAAATCGGTCAGTAAAGATGACTTGGCTTACCTTGATCGCGGTGACGCGAGATGGACCACCCAGGCTGTACTGATGCAACAAGTGAGACCTGCCCCTCCGCCCTTCGACCTCAACCTCGACCTCACGTAGATCAAAATCCACAGAGGTCAGAGAAGGGCGCAAGCTCACGGGTAATGGCCACACACTCCTCTTTCCTGTTCATTTGGGGTCTTCTAGCCGAAATCCAGAATGCTTCCAAGGTCTTCCGCGCAGCGATCTCAGGCTCCTGCGCCAGGATAGACACGGTCACCTGGAATTCGA